GCTCAGCTCAGAGCCTGGAGCCTGCTTTGGATTCTGCGGCTTCCTCTCTCTGACTCTCCCCTGCTCACACTCTGTGTCTCTCTCTCTCAAAGATAAACATTAAAAAAATTTTTTTAAATAAAATATCTTCCTGGACTGTACCCTCCCTTCTTCTGGAGATGGGATAAGATGCCTACGTGGTGAGACGAAGGGAGGTGAGTGGCTTAGGTACTCGGACGTAGCGTTAGGACACTACTGGCTTCAGGACGCTTCGGAGGGAGGACCACCTGGTTCCAGATGGAGGTTGCCCCCGGGTCACTCTAGTCGTGGATAAGGGACTATACCTTGAACTTGCCTGGGAGTCAGGAGAGGAGAAATCTAGCCCTGCCACTGATTGAACAACTTGTTTCTTCTCTCTGAACTTTTTTTTTTTTTTTTTGCAAAACACGAGCTACCATTGTTCTAAAACCGTATTTCACTTGCCAGATAAACAAAGGAAAGCTGAGGGTAAAAAAGTGGTAGAAATCCTCTACGAATCACACCATACTCAACAGTTAGCCAGGCAGTGGGAGGCTTTAAAAAGGCTTCTGGATATAGACGTATATGGTTGCACAGACGATTATCCAAACTACAGGCATTAACAACAAAAGCCATGGTGGTTCAGGAAGAGGAAAGATACTTTTTTACAGGAAGAACGACTCTATTTTCTATACGGGAAGAGCCTGGCTTTCCACTCCCAGATGGTAAAGCTGCAGATGTGCTGCACATGCATCTGTTCTAGAAACCTCCGTGGCCACATTCTCCGCTGGTAGCTGTGAGGAGGCTGGTTGAGCACGCCGCGCCTGGTCCGCGGAGGCTTTCTGCTCGGTTGGCCTCAGACAGAGTTACCATTAACTCCCCAACCTGCAAGAAAATTATTCAACACAAAGGATTCCAAAATGTCCTCCTCTCCCCCTACAAGCCTACAAACAAATGGTACAGGAATGAGGTCAGAAAGGAATCCCCCGCCTACCAGGCCTCTGAATTCATTTACCTACCTCAGAGCCCATTCAGGGAGAGGGGTGGACCCGGGGAACAAGAAATGCTTGGAGGCCAAGTGGAGTTTGGGGGTCGAGCGCTACGTTACAAGATTTGACAGGCCTTTGCCAGCCTTCAGCTTCTTTGTGTCTCTCACATAATGGAGAAACACAAACTGAGCAGCACACGATCTGTGGTTACACCCGCGGACAGAGCACGCTCTTTGCAAATGCTAATAGTATTGTAGCATCCTGTCACCCGGGAACACAAAAAAGGATGTTGATTTTCACATGAACCAGAACAGGCCCATTGTACACAAGTTTGTGACCAACTTGTACTATCTGCACATCAAAGCCCGGCCAATCATAGGCTACACAGCTGGCGAACTGCACCGATGGGGGTGCCCAGCGGAGAGCAAGATCCAAACGCCCCACCTGCCCGCACGGCGACAAACACAGTGCTTTTGACGTGAATGAAACTAGTCTCACGATCCTGGCTCGGCTGGGCCCACGGCGATTGGCAAGTATAATTAGCGAGAACGTAAATGTCTCCGACGTTTAAAAAGAGGAATCTGGATGGATGAAAATGGGAGAGGTTTTGCTCGTGCTGAGAGCCCCCAGTATAGCAGAGGCAGCGGAGGGCGGGGGCGTTGTTAAACATTCATATTAAGGACGATCTGCTACACGAAAGGATGAACTCCCGAGAAAGCTGGCGAGAAAAGTATCTATTTCCACGCCTATAGTCCTGGGAAACTAGAAACTCTTGCGCCAAGAAAATTAAATATAGGATAGTCTTAAAAATGAGTTTAGTTAAAATTGTAAATGCTTCTGCTAATAGACTTTCTTTCAAGTGTTAAATTTATTAGAAATGGAAAGGCAGTCAAGATGCGGGACTATAAATCTTCAACCAAGGTTTTCAAAATGGGGGTAAAAATAATTCTGGATCTGAGTAGTTGGGCTAACTCAAAAAAACAAAAAAAACCTTAGAGAATCAGCATAGGGAAGATGGAAAAATTAGCATGATTAACACGTTGAGAAAAAAAAGCACCAAGAACTCATTTCTACTCCTGAGATTTGAGGTCTGGGGCAGACGTGAGATTAGAGGCCCCTGAATCTCAGTATAGCCTTGTCCCCCAGGACCCTGTAGGGACCCCCATTCGTATGGTGCAGTTAACAGCTTCTTATAGTTGGGGTTAGTCCTTGTGCATTTGCTAGGTGGGTCAGTGCTCAGGGTACTCCTAATTTCATAAAAAAGTTCACCATTCTAAAAGCATTTAGAGACAGCCTATTTTGCAAAGTGCACACAGGTTTGTAACCAGACTTGTTTTCGAATTGAGGCTTTGCTACTCGTGAGAATGACCTTGGGCAAGTTAACAACTTCTCTGAGCCAACTTCCTCATCCACAAAACGGAAATAACACTGCCCGTGATGATGAATGCAAAACACAAGACACACAGGTTCCTTTGCTCTAGACCCAAGTTCTTTTCTTAACTCCAAAATTTAAAAGAAAAACCAAAAATATTCATGGGACCAATCTTTGGCAAGGTGGGATACTGCCCATTAAAAAGGCTTCGGGGGGGTCCTAGACGGACCCCAAAATGCTAACGGCCAGGGACAGTACACTTCTCCGCTGTGTGCTCAGTCCTGCAAAGGCCTTTACAATGGGTCCTTAGTAAGGTGTGTTATACCTGCATCTTTCTCCCAACACACCACAGGGTGCCTCCTCCTGTTAAGTGTTGTTCAGGGAGGCAGGTTCCCTGTTGTAATTGCATGTGTGCTGTGTTCTTAAGGCACAAATAAGGCGAGTACAAGCGTGGGAACTTCCGACTTAAGCCCTCTAGACAAATATATCTCTTTGTGGAGAAGTAGTAAGCACTGCACTTTGTTAATGTTTCTGTGTTAGGACACATGGAAAAGAGAGGTTCGAAACAAAAATGGAACGCAGGAAAATGGATAGGTTAAGGTCTTGAGTTCTCTTTGAGAGGAGAGCGGCATATCGAGAGTGGAAGCTTTGCTAGCCCTGAATTGTCGAGTAAACCTTACTTTAATGAAATAAATAACAGAGACGTGTCCTTAGGTTTTACTTCTGCAAAAGATACTGTGTATCTTCTTCAAATGGGTACATCTAGTATTTGTGAAAGCCAAGGGCATATTAGCTAAATTAAGAGGTAGGTCAATGTTAGTAATCCAGGCGGTACCGCTTCCTGATGATTTGGCTATTTCTCAGAAAAACTTGAAGAAAGCAAGGAGATGGAGTCAGCCTACTGTCTACATTCTTTCTCACAAGTGTTAGAGGTCTCATGAGCTTCCAGCAAGTGCTAGATCATGTGAACCACGGTCGTATTTTCTGGCCAATGGATAAAATTCTAATCTCGATGTTGCTGCTATGTGATTTAGTCACTCCAAAAGGAAGCCGCACAACCGATACGCTGCCTCAAACACTGAGTAGTGTGACCTGTATCTGTAGCACAGCCATTAGGTATTCCTGTGGGAGGCAGCTGACAGTCTCACGGCATGGTGGCTGGGTCTACAGTGCGGCTCCAGGCTTAGAGCTTTTTAAAAAACAGGTTTGGGGTGCCTGGGTGGCTCAGTCGAGTGTCCAACTCTTGATATCAGCTCAGGTGACATCAGATGGAGCCCCACATCAGGCTCTGCGCTGAGCGTGGAGCCTGCTTAAGACCCTCTCTCTGTCTCTGCCCTTCTCCCTCACTTGCCCGCGCTCTAAAAAATATAGCCCCCCCCCCCCGCCGAGTTTTGAATTTTCTCAAATACGTGGAAAGGATCCAGGCTAACACTTGGACTAATTAGTTAAATATAAAACAGGTTAAGAATTCTTTACCACAAAGAAGGGAGGGACAACGGATTTAAAAACATTTATTTCTTCCTCAGTGCCCTGACCCCAAATGAGCCTCAACCCTGGTCCTACAGAATGTGAGCAGAACTCAAGGCTCTCAGGGAGTGATCATATACTCGCTCTCAATTTTCAAGCTTGTGGTAATTCAACTCTATCATTTCAAGATGCGTATTTAATCCAGTGCCTTATAATGTACATTTTCCTTACCTTACTTTATAAAACTGTCTTCTTCAGGGTAAAGGTCACTCATGTGTCAACTTTCCCGACACTGTTCTGCTTTTTAATCTTTGACAGTTTTTGTTGCACTCGTCTTTTCTACATCTATCTGCTTAGGTTAATATGTGCAGGAAGTGACCATTTTAGTTATAACAAATTGAATCTGCTTGATTATTGTAAAGCATATTTTGTAATACGATTAAACAATATATCTGTATTATTTATAAGCACACGATAGCTACTTCACTTGGATAAAGAGAATTCTTTACACACTTGAAACTAACATTAAATATCAACTATACTTCAATTTAAAAAAAGAATAACTTTTAAGTTATTAATTCTTCAACTGGAAGCATGACAAGAAACCACATTACTAAATACTTCAAGCTTTTTTGATACCTGAAGATTTTGAACTTGAAGTGTATAAAGGATAAAAAAATGAATGTGAGCTACTTTTTGTGCCTCATACTAAGACTGGTCTGTTAACAGGGATAAAATACATGGTAACATGATTGAAATATGTTCTTCTCTATAAACCCTCCAAAGGAATTCACAGTCTCTTGACATTTATTCACCAGAAATACACCATACTCCACCCACCATGTACTACTTATTGAAGTGATCATGACTTTGAGTCTTTCCCTAGTTTTGACTTGGGCCAGCCATATAAATCTTGGAGAAGGCACTCCTACACTCTGTCTGATTTTTACATATCAAATGATCAACAAGTATTTAATGAATATCATTTACGAGCAGAGTTCTGGGAAGAAAACAAAAATGAGAAATGGGCCTTCATCATAAGGTGGTAGATGGAAGTCAGAGATCCTTAAGCTGCCTTCCCCTTCGCAGGTTTAGGTATGACTTTTCAGCAAGCCTCCTATACGAATGAACATGCTAGCATCATTAGTGAAAATGATGGCCGTGGCAGCAAAACCCAATTAAAAGACATTTTTAATGAATTTTATCAAAGAAAATACCAAAATGTTTGACAAGTATTAAGGTATGAAAAAAAGGCATTGTTTGACCATGGATTACAGCTGTGAAATGTGAAGCATGTGAAATGGAAGTATTCAGAGAAGAGCCACTTTAAGAGGCTTGCTAGACCATAAATTTGGTTCTGCTACAAAGGTCTCGCTCTCTCTCAGCCCCTCATTAATACAGAGGAAACTTAAAAGATGCCCTCCTATACAGAATTAGAACAGGATTTAAATGACTTTAATTACTAACCTACACAAATGACCATAGATGAAGCACAGGCAAAATATAAACCGCAGTAACATCTGCATGTAGTGTGAAGGTTTTAACAAATAATACAAAGTTCATTCACGGTGAGCAAGTAAACACAAGGTTAAGTTTTAAATATTTAAACACAGCCATGATCATCCAAAAGTGAGTATATTTGCAAGCATATCTCTATACTGCTAAAGAACCATGAAGCTATAGCACACATGAGCTCAGAGCATGGAGCTAAAAAGCATTACTTTGATCCCTCTTACTGGGAAACTGAAACATTGTACCTCTTTCTGCAGATAAATACATCTAAAATAAATAGATTTAAGATTATAAGCTAGCTAAGGAATTTATCCTTTAAGCCTACACTCTCTCTTCATCATATGTAAAACTCCCAAATTAGGTTAGGAAGCACCGCTCTCCGCAATGTTCCCACCTCATTTTTACACTATTCATTTGTACCTGGAGGCTAAATTATTTGTGCGCAGGAGTCCACTGGAGGAAAGCCTGAAAAGGGGGATAAAACAAAGAGGAGAGAACATAGTTAAGCTACTAAGAAAGGCTGATGGCTCCACCTGTAGCCAGAGCTCAGCTGACTCAGCAGAGAGGCCGCGGGAACCGCTTGTTTCCTCCTGGGCACTGCCTACGAGTGTGGGATCCCTAAAATGGGTACCCTGACTGAGTACCTTTTAGATCGAATCTATGTACAGTTGTTCAGTCTTCTATACAGAGCCTTGTTCATGCTCTTCTTTGCAAATTCTGACCTGAAAAAACAAAGGATTCCTGGTCTAGTGAGAATTTAACTCCCATCTGTTTACATGTGAATCATTTGTAATTTCTGAACTACAGACGCAACACACAGGGTTTACTGTCGAGAATCTGAATTTTATTTTTTCTTTTAATAACATCTGCATCAACCTAGCTTTCAAGGAAAAAAAAATAAAAAGAAGGCATGCTTAGAATGAGATCAGCTAAAAAGGAAAAAAGAATTATGCAGCCTACAGAAGAAAGAAGTCATATTCCTGTGGGGGATGTGGGGATGTCTGGACTCCTATTTGGGATTTTAATCAGCTATTTATATGTTTAAATTACAGATACTGATCTCAGAGAAATGAAGATACCCCACCCCCGTTTCTTAAATTTATACAAAGGGATGTGATAAAAGGACTGACTTAACATCAGCCTTTAGCTTTGGGAAAATCTACAGAAAGTCAGCTGAGGGCATTTCCCCCCCATCCATAGCACATACAAATAAACACGGTCCTATTTCTTTAGAAACAGATTTGTAGTTGTAAAGTGGCTGCGTTTTACAACTACGAAAATAATGATTACATGGTGTCTGCTTCAATGAGGGGTTACCACCAAGCAGCACTGGTTGGAGAGAGTTAACCAGCAAGGTCACCTCCACACTGGGCACAGAACACCGGGGGGGAGGTGCTCTACTCCCTTGCTGTTCCCCTACTAGCCCTGGAGCTGAAAGACACATGAAATGTTCTAGACTCCTCACCCAAGACACATGAAATGTTCTAGACTCCTCACCCACCCAATAACTATGTACACTGCTACCAGCTGTTTAAAACCGGATCTACGTTTCTTATCAAACAGTATGAAACAAATATACACTGAACTCTTGATTTCTGAAATATTTTATGATAGCCTTCCAACCCTGTATATAAGTGTCATCAGATGTTGAGAGAAATCACAATGAAGAATACATTGATGCTAAATTAGCGGGGGTGGGGGGGGGGGAGAAGGCAGGATGGCAAGGGAACTGTTACCAAAACATAATTCAAAAAAAAAAAATAAATTATAAAATAAAAACTGTCGAACAATGGGCATTTTTATTAGAATAATAAAGGCTTAACGACGTAGAAGCAAGGAGCAGAGATAAATGACAAAAACATCTGAAGTCAAAAATGGTATATACTTTTTGGCATTAAAGTCCTTTAGCCAATAAAACATATTTATGACACACACAAAAATGCCGTGAAGGTATTGTCACTGAACTACAATGAATCCAATTTTACATTTCTCTTTAGAGGTTCAGCTAAGAGGGAGATGGTCAACATTATTCTAACCGTTGACAGAATTTCTACTGAAAATGCAGTCTTATGAAAGAGCCTTTTCCTGCTGCCTACCTGAAATGCCTGGCGGTCTAAATAAAACTAGTCACCTGATTATTCTTTGTCTTTCCTACCCTGTGTCTCAATCCAATAGCTCTGTCATCAGGTAAAAAACCTGCCTTGTTATCTGAAAACCTGGCTCACTTATACCACACCCAAAATGAATGAATTTCAAATGGACACAGAAAGTGCAAAAACATCCATTGAAGCAAACAGATAAGCTGCTGCTGACTTAGCTCCTGAGGCCACTCTCTGAGCTGTCAAGGTTGAGATCTCTTGCACTGAACGTGCATGGAATTGTTGCAATCCAAATTCACCCACTTGAGGTGTTCTTCTGTTTACGAGTTCTCTTTCACATGATAAATGCAGACTGAATTTTCATAATCAGATAGTTTCTGGACAAAGAACATTACAGATACAGACAACAACGGAGCGGGGTACCGTCACTTTATATACAATGGATAGCTTTTCACAACACCTGGCATTTTTTCCCCCAGAGAAGAAACGGACACGGAGTAACATCAGCTCATGAGTTAGGTGAACGAGCGCCACCACGAGTGGGACAAGCAGGAGAGCACGTTTCTTATCTTCAAGGGCTCAACCTAACGGCCACACCACTTGTATTATGTCAATTTGTCACTTCAGTAGGATAAAAGAGGATTTTAATGCCATTTCCACTCTTCTTGCATTCAAAGGCAACTGATGGTCAAAGTGCCGCTAATATGTGTAAATTATTTTTATCCCATGACTTTATTTCATGTTTAGAAAGGTGGAATAGGCAGAAGGAAAAGAGGCAGGACAAAAGACTTTGTAGTTTTCTTTCTTCACATGTATGCGGAGGTGATTATATTATGAGTAGGATTCTGTAAAAATAAACACATTTCATAAATTAAGGTATGGGGAGACACATGCAAACTTTCTAAATAAACTTTATTACTGCATGATCATAAAAAAATACTAAAGCTTAACTGCCTGTTTGCTTGTTTTATGAAATTTAAAATATCACCTACTATAAGAGTGTGACAATTTTACTACACATGTGTGAATTAAAAAATACTGTCATTTTTTTATGGAAAAAATTTTAAAACATATTAAAGTTGATCAGCAGAAGGATTCTGTGCTTGGCTGTGTTGGGTATTAACATCTTCAGCAATTATCGGAATGAATTACTTAAAACTCAGGCTGAAGAACTTGACACATGTTAAGACTATCATTAAGAAACTATTCTTTAAGGGCGTCTGGGTGGCTCAGTCGGTGAAGCATTGCCTGACCCTTGGTTTTGGCTCAGGTCATGATCTCACAGTTTGTGAGTTTGAGCCCCCCACTGGGCTCTGTGCTGACACTGAGGAGCCTGCTTGGGATTCTCTCTTTCCCTCTCTCTCTACCCCTCCCCTGCTCTCTCTCTCAAAAAAAAAAAAAAGCTATTCTTTAAAGTGCTTTGTAACTTTTATAAAAAGGTCAGAATGAAGCAAGGCTGCCATTTTGCCACATTTATTCTTTTAAATGGATTCACAGGGTACAAAACAGATGATCTCTCCAATATCCTAATGTTCCCAGGGTTATAAAACCCAAGGACTGGGAAGGGCTGTAGAGACTAAAGACAAGAACACAGAAAGTTGTGTTCTTTACAGCTGAGCTCTCAGGACCGCCCTGGCCTCCCCTTGCGACAGGAAAAGGCAGGTTCCCATAGTGGTGGAAACACCAATGTCACACTAACCAGCTCAGGGCAGTGACACTATTATGTAAAACAGAGGCTGGCTTGGGGCTTCCTCATTTCATTAAAGAGAGAAATGACATAGCTTATATTTTTAATAGGGTTTCTGTGATTTTCATGAATTTTCTCCCCCCCCCAAACCGCACTTAACAAACAAAAATATCATGTGAACTTTGATGCTGAAGTGGAGAATCTCCAAATCAAGAAGGCTCTCAAAACGTTTATTTCTAACATGAGTTATTGATAGTAATTACGACAACAAGGAAGGTATCATAACAGCTTTACGGTTTTAAAAGGAAATTCTCATGCACTGAAGTTGTATAAAAACACTTATGAACACAGACACTTAAAAACAATGAATTATTTTTGGACTGTGCCAAAGATGATTGACATTTACTCTCTGGATACATTTTTGTGCACATCCCTATGTACAGCTGTCTTAACTTAGGGGCGAGAGACAAAATAGGAAGAAAGCATTACTGGAAAGCTTTCTTGTTCTGAGGGATCAGGTCTGAGCTGCGCTGCCTTTTCTAGCCTGAGTTCTCAAATGCACTGTGCTTCCTGTTGAGGAAAACACGGAGTTTGGTCACAGGGTCTTTTCTGAAATGAATGCAACTAGGGAGGGAATGTTGTCCTTTCCTTCTTCCAGTTCTGTGTTGCAGGCTGCCTCCAGGGAAAGGCTCACAGGGAAAGTGAGTAATTAAATATTTCCTTCCCTTTCTCAGCTCCTTCAATAAAAGCAAAAGACTTACTACTTATAATTCTTCAGCAATAATTAGCAGGTTACTAGGCGACTACGGAAAATCTATATTTAAATATACAATACTTTGTTTGGAACATGCTTACAAGGCCAGGCTACAGAATTAGACAGGAGTCCACACATTCAGAAGAGTACTCGATTCTAAGGCTATCTGAGTTACTTTAAACAGGAGAAACGGTTTTAAACATAAGAGAATAAAATCAAAAACAATTATTATTAGTCAAGCCAAATAAAATGCTTCGCAAATTAACATACACATAGCTGTCCACTGAGTATGAACAATGGGGAATACAATAATGAGGGCTACAGTTCGATTCTTCACATGCAGAAAACTTATGCGCCACATGCGTATTATGAAATATCTTAGCTTTGTTTACCTTTGCTCTGTTCAAAATGAGTTCTAGAGGATATTTTTAGTTCAGCCAGGAGGCAATCAAGTATTCAAGAGGAACATTGCACATAGGAAATTTAGAATTAATTTCAGAGATTCCTGCCATTAAAATTATTTAATTACATTAAAATTATTATTCAGGAACAAGCAGGATACAGTCACATACAATGAGAAACTATAATAATAAGTTAGAAAAATATATTTTGCATCTAGTCAGTACCAGTGCAGTAGGAAGGCTTTTACTAACTTATTACCATTTATTTCTCTTGATGAAGAGCTTCAATAAAAGCATCAAGTTTTTCTTGAATTTCTCGAACTTTCTCTGTGGAGGTAAAAAGATGATTAAATTCATTAAAAGTGAATCTATTTTCCAAGGCATCACAAATCTTAGAAGAGAATTATTCAATAAACTGTCCAGGGTACTTAAACTATTAGGGAAAAGGGAAAAAAAAAATCACCTCGGTATCACATACCACCTTATATCCAAAAAAAGTTCAAATGGATTGTTGGAGTAGCTCTTGACAACTTTTTGGAAAGGGGAGGAATCTGGTCAGTTTTGTGACGGACCCCGCTGAGAACGTAATGAGAATTATGGAATCTTATATGGAAAATGCATGTATAGACACACAGATAATTGCATATAGAATTTTAAGGAGTTCTCAGATTCACCGGAGTCCAACCAAGGACTCAGCAATATCTGAGGAACAGAGGAAACTATAAAATAAGAAAATAATGTTTTAAAACACGTTTATTTCTTTTAAGAGAGAGAGAGTGTGTGTGAGAGCGACCACAGGTTGGGTGAGGGGCAGAGAGAGAAAGACACAGAGAATCCCAAGCAGGCTTCACACTTAGCGTGGAGCCCAACAGGGGGCTCGATTTCATGACCATGAGGATCATGACCTGAATCGAAATTGGGAGTTGGATGCTTAACTAACTGGGCCACCCAGGCACCCCAGTGAAACCATTTTTAAAAATTAAAAAAGGGGGCGCCTAGGTGGCCTCAGTCAGTTAAGCATCCGATTTCGGCTCAGGTCATGATCTCATGGTTTGTGGGTTCGAGCCCCGCGTCGGGCTCTGTGCTGACAGCTCAGAGCCTGGAGCCTGCTTCGGATTCTGTGTCTCCCTCTTTCTCTGATCCTCCCCTGCTTATGCTGTCTCTCTCTCTCTCTCTCAGAAATAAAACATTAAAAAAAATTTTTTTTAATTAAAAAAGAATACAGGGAAATATTTAACAGGACTTCGACTGGAAAAAGACTTTCGAGGATAAATGGAGAAAGCTACAAAGGAAAAGATTACTAGTATGATCACATTAAAATACACACTTTATATATCAAAAATGTCCTAAATTTAAAAGACAAAAGAAATGGTAGGAAATATTTGCAGCAAATATTAAAAGGGCAATAACACTTTAAAAATACATACAAAAAATGTACTTTTCTAGCTATAAATGTATAAAGTTTAAAAACACCACAGTCCCTGGGTGACTGAGATAGTTAAGCATCTGACTTTGGCTCAGTCACAATCACATCATGGCTCATAAGTTTGAGCCCCACATTGGGCTCTGTGCTGACAGCGTAGAGCCTGGAGCCTGCTTTGGATTCTGTGTCTCCCTCTCTCTCTGCCCTTTGCCTGCTCGTGCTCTCTCTCTCAAAAATAAACAAACATAAAAAAAAGTAATCAAACAACAACAACAAAAAAACCCAAAGCCACTGAAGACAGATTTATATTATTTTATTTAATTTTAGGTTTTCATGTTTGCAGACTTCCAAATAAAATCTGTAACTTCTCTCTGAAATATAAAGACTTCTTTAACAAATACAAACTATTCACAGTACATGTCAATCTCCTAATACGCAAAAAAAAAAAAAAAAATTGGAAGTCATGATTTATTCTGCTTCATTGCTTACTTAATCATGCAACTCCCATTTTAAAATAGAGCTTGTGGGGGTGGGGGGCGCTCAGTTGGTTGAATGTCCGATTTTGGCTCAGGTCGTGATCTCATGGTCTATGAGTTTGAGCCCTGCGTCGGGCTTTGTGCTGACAGTTCAGAGCATGGAACCTGCTTCCGATTCTGTGTCTCCCTCTCTCTCTGATCCTCCCCTGCTTGTGCTCTGTCTGTCTCTCTCTCTCAAAAATAAACATTATACACACACACACACACACACACACAGTTTGTGATAAGCATAGTAAAATTTTTTTGTCCTTTTAATACAATTTTATATATTAGTGGGAATTACCAATTAACGGGAATTGACTTGTTCAAAGCTACTGATCTAGAGGCAAAACCGTATGGCGTTCTGCTTTATATCTATAGAAAAATCATATAAAGTGCATTCATATTCAACATTTTATCTCTTATATTTAAAAATTATCTGCAATTGAAGACATACAGCGTTCCGTTCTATCAGCGCGACAGCAGTTTTGATGAGCAGCCAAGGAAAGGAAGGACTGTCTGTTTTAGGAATTCTCATGGGCACTGCAGGAACCTGGTAAAGCCTGTCTGGCTGCATGTAAAGAACAGAATGTCTTCATCTTCTGTTCCCTGTTAATTTACCATTTCTACTTCTTGGGATTAGCCTGAGACTAACACCAAATCTATAGAGGGAAAAAAACACCCTATTGTGTCAACTATTTACCGAGCAAACATGATAACAGTTATCGCAGAGGCAACAATAATCCCTTTTATGTAAAAGTAAACTAGAGAAACCAGAAAAAATAATCCCAATCTGTCCCTTGGAAGTTTAGTCTGTAATTTTCAGTAGTCTGTACTATCTTTTATGCCAAGAGTCAAACCAGCAAACATACTTCCTTTCTCAAAATAAGGCCACATTCTTATTTTTAAAATGAATTCATCTTGTTGCTTAGAAAGAGCTTCACCTATTTTCTTCATGAGTATTTGGAGAGTTCTGCCTAGTGCAGATATTCAGCTGAAGAATTTTTTTTTTAAAAGAAAAAGAAGAGGAGAGAAAGAGTCTCCTAAATTGTCTCACAGAATTATGGAAATGAACAGTACATTTAAAAAATCATCTGGTTTGGGGCACTTGGGTGGCACAGTCGGTTAAGCATCCGACTTCGGCTCAGGTCATGATCTCACGGTTCGTGGGTGCGAGCCTCGCATTGGGCTCTGTGCTGACTGCCAGCTCAGAGCCTGGAGCCTGCTTCAGATTCTGTGTCTCCCTCTCTCTCTGCCCCCTCCCCTGCTCACGCTCTCTCTCTCTCTCTCAAAAATAAACATTAAAAAAAGTTAAAAAATCATCTGGCCAAAATAGCACAACATATGGAAATTTAAACCAGGTACTTAAAGCCTTGGCAGCTCCTCTAAACGTTTCACTGAGAACTAGTTCTACTTGGGAAAGGTGTTCTGTAGGAAGAGAGGAAATCGGATTCTGTTGGCTCCACGATCTGAGTGTGACCAGGCAGCTGCAGGGCCAGCTCTGTCCATCCTGTGCCCTGTCAATGACCTCCCTTCACAGCTGGACAATCTGGGGGTGGGTGGCATGCAGCATCACTCCCGAGAGAGTTCAGAGCAAGTTCTACTTGTATTGAAAGAGACCAAGAGCCGCTCTGATGCAGGTGTCCAACTGTGGGATCTGAATCAAATTCAATTTCTTATAAAATTAGAGACAAGTGATATATTTTTTCCAAATAAAAGTAAAAAGGCTGTCTGATTAACTTTAATAAGAAAAGCACAGAATAAAATTGCCAAATTTTCCTTTTTTTAAAAAATGCTTATTTATCTTTGAGAGCGAGAGAGAGTATGAGCAGGGAGGGTCAGAGAGAGAGGGAGACACAGAATCCAAGGCAGGCTCTAGGCTCTGAGCTGTCAGCACAGAGCCTGATGCAGGACTCGAACCCATGAGCTGTGAAATCATGACCTGAGTCAAAGTCAGACGCTTCACTGACTGAGCCACCCAGGTGATCCACAAATTTTCCTTTTAAAAAGCTGTTTTTACAAAACATTTCACAACTAGAATATCAGGACACCGTGCTGATACACTCTGAAATGTCAAGAATGACACAAAGGACGTTTAAGTAAGTTACTAGGAGGTAATGGGGGAGAGGAGAGGACATGAGATGTGGAGGTAAATGTGAAAAGCAAAAAGAGGCACCCGGGTGGCTCACTCGGTTGAGCGTCTGACTCTTAACTGTGGTTCATGACCTGATCTCAAGCTTCTGAGTTTGAGCCCTGCATCAGGTTCTGTGCTGGCTGTGAAGCTTGCTTAAGGTTCTCTCTCCTTCTCTCTCTGCCCCTTCCCTGCTATGCGCTCTCTTTCTCTTTCTCTCTCTCTCTCAAAAAAACAAAGCAGAATAATTGTGATAGACTTTACACTAAATTTAAAAATCCATTTCTTTGTCCCTTCATTTTATACAATGCACTTAATGGACTGATACACAGATGTGACCTTGCCATTGAGAAGAATTCCCTGATCACTTCCTACATACCTCATGCTGAGTCTATGAAGTGTCTATATGTCTGAGGCGATTTTAAATCCCACATTTCACTTGGCCCTCATACAACCCTGAAGGCATCCCTGCCAAAGATGAGGACCTGAAGCCTTCAGAGTTAGCTCTGTGCACGTCTCTCAGATTTGGAAACATACTAGACCTACTACCATATAACAGACTCTAAATGCTATCATTTCAAGTGTACTTGTTGTAAGGTTTACCTTTCATCTGAAGTAAGACATACTGTGGTAAAAGTTAGGGAATGGAATAGTTACCAAGCACGCTCCTCAGTCGTTCTGTGCCTAGGAATAACTAAGAAATGTATAATAAATATTATTACCTATTGAGGAGACTAGATCTATATGTATTTGAAACAAATCCTTGGAAAACAGTACAAAAGTACGAAACTGGACAAAAAAAGTTCGACAACAATGTCTGACTCACTACACATGCTCAATAAATACCTGATAAATGATAAATCAAATTCCCAAAAATACAGTACAGAAAATAAAGGCTGTAGGTCATCAAGAAGAAAAAGATCACTTGACAGACTTCCTGGGTGTTACACCAGTCACCAAGAGGGCACAGGCCAGGGGCACAGGGGCTAGAGCCAGCCCGGGGACGGAAGGCAGGGGACACACTGATAATGAAGATCAAGGAAAGCTGGTGGGTCCCTCGAACCAAACAGGCCACATGGAACAGAGAACACTCAGGTCTCACAATACAATAAGTGGAAAGAGAAATTTCAATTTAATTATTTCACCGTATTCAGAAGACTAAAATATACTGACTGCAAACACACACACACACACACACACACACACACACACACACACAACTTCAGGGAGGTATACCACTTTCATTCTTTGCAGAGAA